AAGTATCTTTTGAGGTGGTGTCTATTTCTTGAATTGCTATTGAGGTATTCTCTTTTACTTAGCTGTGTTGAAGTTTTCTACACCAATTCTTAGTGCATATTTAGATTTCCTAATAAATGTTATATTTTCTTTATCTATGGATTTGTGTCTTTCATATATTCTAAAAAACTTCTCAGCCATTAGTGATTCAAATATTGCCTCTCCCTCTTATAATTGAGTCTTATAAAGATTCAATTCATGACTTCTTTTTAATTTATTTTCTTGGCCACCCTTCCCCGTCCCCCCCCCCCAGCATTTTGGAGATTTTATTTTTAAACTTCCAGTAAGACCAGAAATGCAATGAAAACATTCTTTTGGCAGGAGTACCCGTATTATTTCTAGTCAGCATACTATTAGATGTTTAAGTAAAATTTATTGAATTGTCAATTTTGTTCCATTTTCATGTGGTCTGGATTTCATTGTCAAGTTTTTTTCCTCCTCAGCGTTCATAATTAATACCTGTGTTCTTTCATCATTGAGAATATATGGATATTGGTTTTTGTTTGAGGGTCGTTTGGCCATTTTGTTTAAGGGTATCATTTTTTTCTTTTTTGAATTGGAGTCTCACTTTGTTGTCCTGGCTGGAGTGCAGTGGCACGCTCACAGCTACCGCTTCCTCTACCTGCTGGACTCGGGCGATCCTTCCGCCTCAGCCTTCGAAGTAGCTGGAACTATAGGTGCATTCTACTACTCCCTGCTCATTTTTGATTTATTGTAGAGACGAGGTCTTGCCAAGTTGCCCAGGCTGGTCTCGAACCCGCGGGCTCAGGCAATCCACTCGCCTTGACCTCCCAAAGTTCTGGGATGTCAGGTTGAGCCACTGAGCTCGCCTTCATTTTTTTTTAATCACACTTTTTTTTTCCTCTTAGAACTTTGTGCATCGTGTCTTCTGCCCCCCCCCCCCCATTTTGTCTGGAAGAAGAAAAAGTCTGTGAGAAGATTTTAACATATCATTTTATTTAGGAATCCTTTATGTGTACCTGTTCATATACATGTAAATTTTTAAGGTCTCCCCATTTGTCACTGTATCTCAGCTGTGCTGAAAGAACCACAAAAAAAAAATGTATAGTTATACTTTGGCTACAGTGTGTGAGAATGGAGAGGGAGACAGAGATCTGGGCATCCATGAAATTCGTGGTGAGAGATACTGTGGGTTTGTGAAGCTCAGGTGTCTAGGACTGATCACTTTCACCTGCTCCTGGTGGGAACTTTCCTCCTAGAAGAGTAGAAGGAGGGCTTTCTGGTTGTTTGGAAGTGTGACCATTGTTTTGTAAGCATTCATAGGTTTACCAACTGATTATTTTTTGGAAGAGCAGAGCCTGTGACAGCATCTGCTCAGGTGGCTTTGGGCAGCATGAATGCCAGTTTTGCTTGGGTCATTTCCCAAGCAAAAGATGTTAAGCCCTTTGGGAGGCAGAGACAAGAGGATTGCCTGAGCCCAGGGGTTTGAGACCAGCCTGGGCAACTTGGCGAGACCTCGTCTCTATAATAAATCAAAAAATTAGCTGGGCATGGTGGCTCGCACCTGTAGTTCCAGCTACTTGGAAGGCTGAGGTGAAAGGATCCCCTGAGATCAGCAGGTTGAGGTTGCGGTGGCCATAAGCGTGCCACTGCGCTCCAGCCTGGACAACAGAGTGAGACTCCGACTCAAAAAAACAAACAAAAAATAAAGAATAAAAAAAAGTAAAGAAATAAAAACGTGGTGAGAAAGGGAAGACTGCTTTTGGGCCCCTGCAGAGAAAATGCCGCATGAAAGGGTGATTCACTCATGCACAATGGACAATGACACAGCAGACCTGGGTGTCTGGATGCTTTTCTTTTGAATGGAGTAATTTCAAGTTCAGAACAATAAAAGATTTTTTGTGCTTGTGCTTTTCAGAAAGGTCAGTGACTGGCTTGTAAATAAAAAACTCTGAAATATATATTTTTTGGTTTAATTGGGGTTCTATTTTTATGGCAAGATCCTCAGAGAAACTTTTCAATTATTAGATGTAGAGTTTTCCTTTTTTTCCAATATTATTGCTACTTGAAACTATAGATTTGCCATTGATTTTAAGACTGGACTAATACATATTTGTAATTTTAGATTTGCTACTGACTTATAATTTGACTTTGGCAGGGTCCTTTCAATTTTATTGTCTTTGTATATGGGGAAAAAATTCAGATACCATAAATTTTAAAAAAGATAACTTGACGGAATGAAAGATTTAGCTAATAAAAAGGCAAATACAAAATTGGAGAAAATAGTTATAATATTTTAAGCCAAGAAAAGACTGAATTCTCTAAGTAGAAAGTAGAAAATAATGATTTATAAGTCAGTAAAAAAAAGACCAATTTAATAGAAAAATAAATAGGGAGTTAATAGACAAGGAGTTATTTTATTCTTAAGAAAAATACTTCATCTCAATAATTGAATAAAAGTCATTATGTTTTTGTATACCAGTTTGACAAAAATTAAGCGTTTATTCATCCCAGGTGCTACCGAGTGTGTGATCAGAGTGAATGCTGATTGGTTTAACTTTTAATGAAGCATTTTGTTTACATTTATCCAAATTAAAACTTCACATTACAAATCATATACACTTTGGGTCAGAAATTTTATTTAGTTGTGTTACCACCCAGATATTCTTAGAAAAGTTAGTCAAACAGGAAAACAAAAGTCATGGTATCACTGGCCCAAACAGAAAACATGCAAATTTCCATAATTAGGTGATTAGTTAAACAAATTAAATCCTACCATGGGATTTTATGTAGTCTTTAGAAGCAATGAGGCAAATCTATAAATGCTGATATGAAACTAAAAACATTAGTTATGCTTAGATATATATTTTTTAAGTGAATTAAGAAAACTGTTGAAATAATTTATTCTTTAGAAAAGTGGTTGTAATCTTTCTGTACTTAAAAAACTTCTCAGCTGGGTACAGTGGCTCATGCCTGTAATCCTAACACTTTGGGAGGCTGAGATGGGAGGATTGCTTGAGGCCAGGAGTTTGAGACCAGCCTGGACAACATAGCAAGATCTTATCTCTACAAAAAAGTTTAAAAAGACTAGCCAGGTGTGATGGTGTGCACCTGTAGTCCCAGCTACTTGGGAGGCTGGGGCAGAAGGATCACCTAAGCCCAGGAGGTTGAGGCTGTGGTGGGCTGTAATCACGTCACTGCACTCCAGCTTGGGTGACAGAGTGAGATTCTGACTCAAGAAATAATAAAAAAAAATTTTTTTTAACCATACATATGTTTATTTATGCATTTAAAATATCAAAAGTTGTTATATGAGTCTTGGATCTATAAACTATTTTCTGTTTTCTTTTTTATAACTGTTTGTCTGAAATAGCTATCATATGTTATTAAAAATGAAAAATAATGAAAAAAGCAAAAAATAATTGTGTTTATTCTTCTTAATCGTATCATGTTTGTTTAATATGAAGTATGTTTTAAACTTTACTTATTTATATTCCGCCAGAATTAATCATAGAATCTTTCTCTACCACCTCCCTACCCCAGTAGGGCAATAACTTATTAATTTGTTACAGAGAATAACCAAAATGAATTAAATGAATTGCGATCTCCTGAGAGTCTTGACCTTTCTTTGTGGTTTAATTATGATCCCTTCAACCAGAGGGTGACCTCCTACAGACATTTTCTTTGTTATCAGCACCTGTGATATTGGGTTTCAGCACTTTGTCAGAGAACCTTTATCATGACGCACTTTTTGGCACAAAAAATACTTCCTCATGGACTGTTTCAAAGAGGTTGATTTCCTTTCTTCTTTAATTACACCAGGGATCAATACACTCTTTTTCACCTGCTCTTTGTCTTGATGGTTTCAGGCCACTCACCTGGTCGTATCTAGTTCTGCTTACAAGGAAGGATTACGATGGTGGGATATGGCCATGGCAGTGCAAAGACTAAAGGAGCCGAAGTGACCAGAAGTTCATTCTAGTTCAAAGTAGTATGGCCGGGAGTCTGAAACAGTCAGACATGCTCTTCAGTGTTTGACTGAGCACACTAACTTGAAGGTTTTTCGGTTTCTGTTTGTGATTTATTTACTCAATGACTTGCCTGTTTTGTGGCTGGCTATAAACATTTGTTATTTGTAAAATGACATGATCTGAAGTCAATAGAAGATTATCTACCATAAAAATAAGTGAGGAATGGTGACAGTAAAAATAATTTTATGAGAATCAGAGCTTTTTTATTAATTAATTTTTTTGGCTATACCTTCAGGTGGTGTTTCTTTCTCAAATAATTACATTTAAGGTATCAATGGCAGTTTCTTTTAAAATTCAAGATGGTACAACTTATTGTGGTCATTTTGGGTTGTACCTTTGTAGTCTGTGTCAATAGATTTTGCTCCAATAATCTTAGTCTTAGGAGTTTTTTTTCCAGTCTTTAAAAAGTAGTTGTTATACTTTTTATATATACACAAAAAATGTTCCTCGATAGAAGAATGAGGTGAGTTATGTTATATTTATTTGGTAAGAATGTTATGTGACCTGTAAGTTGGTAGTTACAAATCTCATGTGGCAATATTAACAAATATACATAAAATGAAAGTAAATAAAAAATGGGTGTTACCACCAAAGTTCACAAAATATCTATTTGTGAAATGTTAAAGAAATTAGAAAAATAAAAATGTTTGATTTGTTTGAGTGTGGGAAGTATGGGAATAATAATTATTTATTTAATTTCTTTAATGCCATAAGTTTTGCAGTAAACAGAAATGTGCAGAAAAAGGAAAAGAGCAGAAACCGTGTCTGGTGGGGGAAGGACAAGGAGATGACACAATCACAAATCTGGTTGTGGTGGCAAATGAACTGGGCCTTTTCTGTGGGTCCCTGTCCTAAATGATTATTCTAAGAGACACATAGTTGGAATTACAATGACCTTCTTCCAGAGATGAAAGTATTGTCATGCTTTGCCGTTTATTCAAGTGCTATTTTACAAAAATGTTTTCCCAGGTCCTTTCCCTTGCTGAATTCTTCTGGCCATGTCTCCTGTTCTTGATTCTGACAGTACTTCGTTTTCAAGAACCTCCCAGACACAGAGACAGTTGTAAGTTTCAGTTTTTAATACACTTCTGGAATTGCAAACCTTCAGAGAAAAAAAACATGGCAGTCTTTTTTGTCTTTTCTTTTTTAAAAATAAACTCTAAGTGGAATGAATATATAAGTTTTCATTAAGACAATAGCAATATATCTGGGGTGTGTGCCAAAGGGTGACAATTTAGGTTCTGTCTCTTAAGAATAAATATTCACACATCTGTTCAATCTAGGAGATAAATTTATTCTTTCAACTAAGCTGACACAATTTGGGCATATGCATATAAACCATTATAAATACAAAAAGAGTAGAAGAAGAAGTAAAAGTGGGAGATGTGTTTCACGGTTTACTAACAAGTACTGATAGTGATGATGGTGGTGACGAATAGGGTGATGGCGGCGGTGGTGATGATAGCGATGGTGACAGTGACGATGATGATGATGGTCATGTTGCTGATGATGGTGACGGTGGTGATGATTGTGATAATGACAATATTGATGACGGTTATGGTGATGATGATGATGAGGGTGAGGATCGTGATGAGGACGACGATGATGATATGACGGTGATGGTGATGACAATACTGATGCTGATGGTCACGGTGACGATGGTGGTAATGGTGATGACTGTGATGATGACAGTGACGATGATGGTGATGTAGGGGCGGTGGTGATCATGACGAGGACAATGATGATGATGATGTGATGGTGATGGTGGTAAGCATGGTGACGATGGTGATGACAGTGATGACAGTGCTGATGATGGTAGGGATGACGATAGTGATGATTGATGGTGACGGTGATGATGATGGCCACGGCGATGATGACGGCGATAGTGGTGATTGTGATAATGACAGTGATGGTGATGGTAGGGGTGGTGATGATAGTGACGAGGATGAAGATGATGATGATGTAATGGTGATGGTGGTCATAATGGTGAAGGTAGTGGTGATGGTGATGGTGGTGATGACAGTGCTGATGGTGGTAGAGATGATGACAATGATTAGAGTAATAACTATGACGCTGTAGGCAATCAAGATGGTGACACACTGAAAAACGTTATTGATTGCTTCCTCTGTTCCAGAACATGGTCAGACAGACCATTTTTAAAATCTGGTTTGAAACCCCTCCCTCCTTGAGAAACGATGGCCTGCTTTGTTTCAATCGGATTATGCCACTTCAAATATGTGTACGATGATTGCCTCTGTAAACGTGATATGAATAAAGGATTATTAAGTGCTGGGCTTTCTCCAAATACTGTGTTAGTTATATTTAAGCTTTACACACAGAAAAACATGTGGCCCTAATTGTTTGTCTTTGCTGTTTGGGGACTATATTGTGTGTTGGCAGAACAGATAAATGGTGAAGTCATGTTAGTAAAATTTCATTTAGGAACACCTGAAAGCTTTACAGGGCTCCTATTTCGTTAAGTTATTCATTCAACAAATATGTCTTGAGTCTCAGTTCTGTTTCAGGACTTGCTGAGGATACAATGGTGGACAAGGTATTTTCTCTGCTTTTGCAGAACTTACCATAGGGCCTAAGTATGACAGTATAGTGGGAAAAGTGTCACGATGGCATTTCATGCAGGAGCCCATGTGAGCACACAGGAGGGGTGGCCATTCCATTCTAGGGAAAGTCTTCTGAGGAATTAACAATGTGCAGCTTTGTCAAAACAAGGAAGTGCAGGGGAAGAACGGTCTAGGCAGGGCAGACAGCATGGGCAAAAGCTCAAAGTGTCACTAAGGAGTTTAGTGTGAGTAAAAAGCAGACACGTGGCTGGGGGATTAAGCAGGGTTAGATCAATAAAGGGCTCTTTGTGACATTGAGGATAGTGAACTCTTTTTTATTTTTATTTTTATTTTTTATGTTTTTTTTGAGTTGGAGTCTCACTCGGTCGCCCAGACTGGAGTGCAGTGGCCGCTCCCGGCCACCGCAGCCTTGCCTGCTGGGCTCCGGCGATCCTTCCACCTCAGCCTTCCAAGTAGCCGGAATTACAGGCATGCGCTACCACGCCCGGCTGATTTTTTGATTTATTGTAGAGATGAGGTCTTGCTGCCCAGGTGGGTCTCGAACCCGCAGGCTCAGACAATCTACTCACCTCAGCCTCCCAAAGGCGGGGGATTACAGGCTGAGCCACCAAGCCCGGCTGTGAACTCTTTTTTTAAAAAAAATAATGTATTTATTTATTGTAGAGTTGTGGGTACAAGTGAGAATTTACTATACAGGTAGGCTGCATGCAGGTGAAGTTTGGGCTTCTAGGTGGCCCTGGTAGTGGATTCCCTTTGTGTTGTTACGTGTCCCCCCTCCCTCTCCCCCTTCTTCCTCCCTCCCTCTCCTAGCAGTGCCCACTCATAAGTGACTGTTGATCTCTTCCTTGCGCTAATGTGACCAGTGTTCAGGGCCCACTTACGAGTGAGAACATGCAGTATTCAGTTCTTTGTTTCGGTTTGATGATCTTCAACTGCAGGATGGTGAACCCTTAAAGAGCACTGAGGAACCATGGAGGGGCTCCAGGCAAATCATAATAAGATGGGCATTTAGGGGTCACATTCTGGAATCTGGCAAAGGTTGAATTTGGGGTGAGGGGAGAGCAACACTGGAGAATGCAAGCTCAATTTGTGGAGCTCTGAGTAACCAGGCAAGAGATGGTGGTGCCCTGAAATGGGTAGGAGGGCAGATTCAAGAGACACAAAGGAGGTAGGACTAAGAGTCACAACAACTCAATGCATGAGAAGAGGAAGGCCTCTTACCCAGCCACCTTGAAGGACAGCTCACTCTCACTGAACTCAAGGGGCTCAGGATGAAAGGGGACTTGTGCTCAGTGTGGTCATGCTGGCCTGTGAGACCACCAGGCTGAGTGGTTCAGTCAATCGAATTATGAGTTGGGAAGTGCGTACATGAGGACACCTAAGAAGGAGAAGCATCCAGAGGATAGGCCACAAGAAGAGCACATTCGAAGGACAGGCAGAGGGGACCGTGAGGGGCTGCCAGAGTGTTCATGGGAAAACGAAGAGAGTGTAAAGTTTTGGGGGAAGTGTTTAAAGAAGAAGGCGTAGCAGTGATAGGAGGTGCTTCTAGGTAGATAAGGCAAGGGTTGACAAGTTGCCTGGGGAGTTTCAGTGGCTGGTGGGACACAGAGTGGGGACAGACTGTAGTGGCCTGAAGAGTCGGGAACAGTGAGGAAGGCAGAGGCAAATGTTAGGAAACCAGGCTCACTGTGCAGGAGAAACAGGTACAGCAGGGGGATGAAAGCTCGCATGGAGCTAGTGGATAATACGACATCCAGGACTGGTAAGAACCCTGAGTTGGTAGTGGCTCACATAAAATTGTGAATTCTTCCGTTGTAAATAACGGAGCAGTCCAGTGTGGCACCTGGCCAGTCCTGCCACATGGAAAGAGCAGCTTATAATGTTTCATGTCCTCAACGTTTCCATCCATTCCTTCAACATTTATCAGGAGTACAAGCCAAACAAGCGTAGGCCTAAGAAACACTGGAAATGTTTCCTAGAGGGCATGCTTAGGAGGGGAAGGCTTAGACTCAAGGAGTCCAGAGTCACAGTCGGTTTAAGGACCGCACGTTGAAGCTTTATCTTGCTACCCACCAGCTCTGTGGGCACAGGGCACAACCTCTGTGAGATTCTTCTCTCCAAAGACAGCTAGTTTCCCTGCTTCTGAGGGATGTTGCAAGGAGTGGGTGAGGAAACGAATCATGAGCAGGCAACTGGCACAGGGCCTGGCACGGGGCCTGGCACGAAGGAGATAACCAACAAATGCCGGCCCTCCCTCATGCCTTTTACTGTTCTGCAGAGGATGAGGGAGGGTCCACGCTAGATCTTAAGTCTTGGAGACGAAGTGTGTCCAGGGCAAGAATTCTCATTCTCTTACCCACTGAACACCCCACTGTGGCAGCCACCATTCCCGACATGTTCCTGAGAGAGATGGAACATGGAAGTCATGCCAGGGTAATGCACCTTTCATCGCTAGCTGGGGACTGTTGCTGATGTCTGAAGTTGCTACTGTGTGAACTACCTAAGGATGTTCTGTTCCTATCTTAACGTGGGAAGAGCGGGCTCCCCTTCTTGTGCTCTGACGGAAAACATCTTAGAAAAGGCTAAGTGGATGCTAGGATTTCAGAATGAAGCCTAAGACTGCACATATGAATATTTTCACTTGGAATAAACAATCTTCTAAAGTTAAGATTCTTAGCCTAGAAAAGTAAAATTTCCTTTCAAGTCCTCTGGGAGATTAACAATGGAAGCTTGAGAAGATTTACTTCTCTATCTGCCTGAGCGAAATACTATTTGTGATCGTCCGTGAGGCTTGTGATCGCCTGTGTTCTGTGCAGACTCTATATGCATGGGAGATGAGGCCAGGACACGCCCAGGGGCCTGCTACTCCCTCGAGCTAAGCAGGAATATGAACCCCAGTGTCGGGGCAGTGCTGAGCTGCGATTGTGTTCCTCCTTCGAAAGACCTGGGGAGAAGTGATCAGGGACCCTGAGGACCTGGGAAGTGCTCTGGGTCCCAGCTGGGTCCTGTTAATATTGGTGTACTGGACAGGCATCTCCGTTCCAGGGCTGTTCCCGGGGTTGGTGTAAGGTGTGGTGGAACGAGTGTTCATCTTGGAGTCATTGGATGTGCATGATTTGTGAAAAGACACATCTGTAAGCTTCAGCATCCTCATCTGTAAGATGGAGATTGTAAACATATTTTTAATTGTGTTCCATGGGATGTTCAGGTCCATTACACTCGGTTGTGTTTCAAGGTGGTCTAAAGCTACCACAGCAATCTTTAGTCTTGGAGACAAATTGTTTATAAAACTACTTAGCTCAAAATCTCTGGCCCACTGATCGCCCCACTACGGGGACTCCCATTCTGGATATGTTCCTGAGAAAGACAGGACACAGAAGTTATGCCAGGGAAATGCACCTTTTATTACTACCTGGGAGATAACTCCACATCCCTTTATGGTTTTCTATCTTAGTGAATTGAATCATGTGTCTTTTTTTAATACACAATATAAGTTATTTGTTTTATAAAAAGAGAATACCTGCAGGAAATACAGGGGAGCAAGTTTTCACCAAATATAAACAAGGGCATAGCATTGCAGCCAGTATCAGCAACAAGGCTGTCAAGTTGGACCTTGAGAGGATTTAAGGTATAAAGAAAAAGGCAAAGTAAGGTCTAGAGAAGTCATTACCTTTAGCAGTTTGCCTTCAACTTGAAGAAGTTGTTTGGTAATTTCAAGCGAAATGAAGGATTTTGTTTTATTTTGTTTTGTTTTTGTACTGATTGCCACTGGGCCGGGACAGGTGGTTAAATATACATGATAATTTATAGCTAATAGTGATCCCGGACCACGTGTCTTCTTCTAAGAGCTCCATCTACCTTCTTAGCTAAGAGCCTGTTCATGTATTTTCCACACAGTCATTCGTCAAACATTTAGTGAATGTCTTATGTGCTAAAGCATTGCACTAATTGCTGAACATAGTGGGTCTTCGAATTCTGTAGTGTAAGATGATCTCCCAGGCCAAAACAGTCTTGAGAGGAAAGGCTGTCACCAGGGTTTTATGAGCTACAGCATATTAAGTTAGTCCCTTTCAATTTGCCTGCCATCATCCGTATCCCCACTACTCCCATCATCTGGTGGTGTGAGGGGAGAGATGGTTGAGGCGTGTGTGAACAATGCTTTCTCAGCGAAAGTGGTTTATTGTAGCAGCGTTTGTCCTGAGAAGTCCTATCCAATGTAGAAAAACGTTTTTCTTGTTTTTTTTTTTTTTTTGGTGCTTTATGTGATATTTAGCAACTATACTCAACATTTAAGAATTCAAGTTGTATTAAACTTGAAATTTTTGCCCCAACTAAAAACTCCTAAATTTTCTTGGGTAGAAGCATCTATGCTCATTCTTTGGGCCTGTAGCTTGCTGAGAGTGGGCTGTGTCTGGAGGCTTGGTGTGTGTCAGAGGTGTTTCCTGGGGAAGCTAGCACACCATGCAGCTGGGCCACTCAGAGTCATTCTGCTGTGAAGACTGAGAGCTGACACTGGGGAAAGGTGTTAGATATAAAGGAATTTTTTATTTTTTGCCTACATTCTCAGATTTCTTTAAATTAATAACAGGGTTAAAAATATTATTGTATTTTATCCCAAAGTAGGGCCAGGCTCAGTGGTTCACCCTGTCATCCCAGCACTTTGGGAGGCTGAGGCGAGTGGATTGCCTGAGCCCGTGGGTTCGAGACCAGCCCGGGCAACTTCGCGAGACCTCGTCTTTACAATAAATCAAAAGTTGTAATCTCAGTACTTTGATGTAATCTCAGCACTTTTTTGATGCTACATCTTACAATTCTAACTCAGCAGGAATTACCTTTGTGGCAGCAGGTATACAGACTCATTTCTTGCTTGCATCTATATCCAGGTTACTTGCAGCCTCGGGATCTGCCCAGCCGGGGCGTTCTCCCCTTCGTCCAAGGCCTTCTTTGCAACACTGGGTCAAGGTGCAGGAATTTCAGCTATGCAGATTCGATGGAGCATCGTTTTCGGTAAGAGAAACACAAACATCCTCTCCAAATTCCCAGAAAGCTGATGCATAGAACAGACATCATACTTTTGGTAAAACCTCAATAATTTGGGCCAGGTCAGAGATCATGAAGAGTACAGAAATTAGAGTTATAAGAAAACCAGTTTTATTAAATTCACATCATACTGACTCCAGCTAATAGTGACCTTCCAGTAGATCTTCCTACTGTTGTTTTAAGACTCACAAAGTAGGGCCAGGCTCGGTGGTTCAGCCTGTCGGCCCAGCACTTTGGGAGACCGAGGCGAGTGGATTGCCTGAGCCCGTGGGTTCGAGACCAGCCAGGGCAACTTGACGAGACCTCGTCTCTACAATAAATCAAAAATTGTAATCTCAGCACTTTGGGAAGCCGAGGTGAGAGGATTGCCTGAGTCCATGGGTTCGAGACCAACCTGGGCAACTTGGTGAAACCTCGTTTCTACAATAAAAAAAAAAAAAAAAATTAGCTGGGCCTGGTGGCATGCACCTGTATTTCCAGCTACTTGGAAGGCTGAGGCAGAAGGATTGCCTGAGCCCAGCTGGTGGAAGCTGAGGTGGCCGTGAGTATGCCACTGTGCTCCAGCCTGGGTGACAGAGTGAGACTCCAACTCACACACAAAAAAAATTGTCTGGGTGTGGGAGCGCGCGCCTGTAGTTCTGGCTACTTGGAAGGCTGAGGCAGAAGAATCACCAGAGCCCAGCAGGTCGACGTTGGGGTGGCTGTGAGCGTGCCACTGCAGTCCAGCCTGGGTGATGGAGTGAGACTCCAGCTCAAAACACAGACACACACACACACACACACACACACACACAAAGATTCACAAAGTAATTGCTGATTAGCAAATGCCATTTGCATGTAATAGTTTGTTTCTACAGGCCAAAATGCTGACTTCAAAATTACTGACTTAGCCAACTTCTCATTTTAGTGCCCAAAGACCCCCAAACAAGTGTTTTTCCAGCTATCTACTGGGTTTTTACCTACTGTGCTACTGGTTGACCAGAATCTTGGCCCCAGCTGAGACAAAATGAAAACAACGGGCAGTCCCCTCTTTCTTCTTCATAAACCACCAAAATGAACTATAGGACCATTAAGTAACCTCCTCTGAGTCAATGCTGAGTTAGTCCTATCGTTGCCCGTGGCATCAGCTGGCATCAAAAATCAAAAAGAAAACGAGTAGGAGGCATTTCATATGAGAACTGTCAAAATGAGGGGTTTTACCTTGGAGAGGATCCTGAGTGCTCTGGAAGCCTACCTCACACGAACTTAGGAATGGAAGTGACTTGTTAATCACGATAGTTGGAATTCATCAGGAATAAATGATCTGGGTTTTATTTTATATCCTTACTTGTATTGAACAATCTAGGCTATTTAAAACAAATGTTAACATATATGGCCTTTATCTTTCAACTTTAAGTTATAAGAAGAAAATTAAAATATCCAGATAATTTTGGAGACATCCAGTACAGAATTTATAAGAGGTGCTTTCTTAGTTCATTTGGGGTACTGTAACAACATACCATAAGCCAGGTGGCTTATAAAAAAACAAACGCTTATTTCTCACAGTTCTGAAGGTTGGGAAGTCCGAGATCAAGGTGCCAGCAGACTCAGTGTCTGGCGAGGTCCCTTTCCTTTAGAGATGACACCTTCTAGCTGTGCTCTTACATAGTAGAAGGGATGAGGCAGCTCTCTGAGGTCTCCTTTATAAGGGTACCAATCCCATTCATGAGGACTTCACCCTTGTGACTTAATCACCCCCACAAAGGCCCTCCCTTCTAATACCTCAACAGATGAAGTTGGGGAGGTGGGAGGAAGCAAACATTCAGATCATAGCAGGTGCTTACTATTTTTAGAGATAGGTAATATAAAAGTAGAAAGTAAAGATAGTCATTTGAAAATGGTGTAAAATTAGAACCTGAAAAAGTTTGATCTTTTTTTTGAGTTGGAGTCTCACTCTTGTCCACTCTTGTAGTCTCACTCTTGTAGTGGCACGCTCACGGCCACTACAGCCTAAACCTGCTGGGCTCAGGTGATCCTTCTGCCTCAGCCTTCCAAGTAGCTGGAGCTATAGATGCATGCCACCATGCCTGGCTAGTTTTTATGACTTGCAGAGATGAGGTCTCACCAAGATGCCCAGGCTGGTCTTGAACACCCGGGCTCAGGCAATCCTCTCACCTTGGCCTCCCAAAGTGCTGAGATTACAGGCTGGGCCACCAAGCCTGGCTGAAAATTTTGATCTTTTCTCATGTGTGGTGAAAGAAAGTATACAAAATTGTCTTTCTGGGAAGTAATGAAAGAGCCTGAGTCATATCAGCATTTTAATTTCGGGTCTCCTTATATGTCCAGGTCTCCTTACATGTCTTTCTTGCCTAGAATGGGAAGTTTAAATGATGCTGAAGTGGGAAGAATAGGACTTTGCAGCCAAACAATGCTGGCTCAGTTACCTTTTAGTTCTGTGAATCTGTGCACGTTAATTAACCTTTCTGAAACTCAGTTTCCTCTCTTACCTGCCTCAAGTGTTGTGAATATTAAAGACAAAATATGGAAAACATATTAGCATGATGTGTGGCACAGAAGCATTCATCCAAATGGGAGTTAAAATAATAACAAATTCTTACTACCGCGACTGTAACAATTATCAAATATTATTTGCTGTCAGTAAATAATCTACCTTTTTTCTCTGCGTTCTTCCATTTCAATACCCTCACTTCAATGTGCGGAAACTCAGGGAATATAAACACAGCGTGAGAGTTCATCACATGACATCTGAGAACAATAATCCCTGTGATAGTTCATCAGCATTACAAAGCTGTTGCTTTTGAGAACCAAGAATGAAATGCCCCGCAGTGTCTAGCAGTAACCAGGGCAGAGGGATGAGAAATACAAAATGAAATAGGGAAAGACTTGTGACCCGCCTGGGCAGCGAGACCTCATCTCTACAATAAATTAAAAAATCAGCCGGGCGTGGTAGCACATGCCTGTAATTCCGGCTACTTGGAAGGCTGAGGTAGAAGGATCGCCAGAGCCCAGCAGGTCGAGGCTGCAGTGGCCGGGAGTGGCCACTGCACTCCAGTCTGGGCGACAGAGAGACTCCAACTCAAAAAAAAAAATAGGGAAAGACAATTGTAAGGAGTAAGGAGATAGTGAAGAGTGGGAAGGAGACAAGGAGGGGTGAAGAAGGACCCTGCCATGCTCGTCTCTGGCTTTGGACCTGGCCACTCAACTAAGCAGTTTTCATACTGATTCAAGTATGGATTCAGTAGAAACTCATGGCCATAAAGAAGGATTCACTTCTGAGTATTTTGTGGTAATTGTCTCTGTTTGAAAATACCTGAAAACAGGCTGGACATGGTGGCTCACACCTGTAATCCCAGCATTTTGGGAAGCTGAAGTGGGAGGATCACTTGAGGTCAGGAGTTTGTGACCAACATGGACAACATAGTGAGACCCCCAGCTCTACTGAAAACAAAACAAACAAACAAACAAAAACCCCAAACAAAAACCTAAAACCAAAATTTTTTTAAGTTTAGGCAAACATTTTCATAGTTAATTTAGTTTATGAGTCTCCATGACCTTTATAATTTCCTGGCAAAGCTTACTTTGGGCAGAAACCCAGGTAGGTTATGATCATGAAAATCAACTTCCTTATTCCTAGTTTTGCTGGGAAAACTAGCTTCCCCTTTGCTCTAACAAGAGGATTTCAGAGCAAAAACATGAATCATTACTGGCAGCACATGAAATGGCTATTCTCACAGAGTGTAGGAGTAATTTCTGTTTGGTTTAAGATAAAGCATACAAGCAAAGTTAAAATGCTGTGCAATACTAATGTACTGGCTAGATCACTTCCCTTTTCACTGTCAGTAACCTTCAGGAGGCTGATGGACATCACCACGTCAGGTCATCGGTCACTCTTCGTCTACAGCACCTGGAGTCTTGCCCTCTCATCCTCAGTTGGGCTGTCTGCCATTTCCAGAATGGAGAATGTTTCTCCATTCTCAAACATGCCCATGCCTATAGATGCCCTCATTATAACAATTCCTGGTTACTTCCTATTGGTCTCATTTGGCAGTAATCAATATTTTCATTTATTTATTCTCCATCTCAAACATGCCCAGATCCCTGAGGATCAATCTGACCCCTTCTACCTCTTTTACAACCACTGCCTGGTTCTCAGTCTCCAACCACTTGCTGCTGCTTCAGCTTTGGGCTTCTTAGTTTGCTTTTCACTCTTAGACATTCTCTTCAGAGTGTCTCCCAAACTTTAAAGTTCCTATTTTACAATTTTCTCCTTCCCAAGGTCTAGTTTCTTTCTGAGCAGATGATTCTCCTCTCCCCATCAAACCAGCTTCCATCCAAAACAGCTAAGAATTTGATCCTGGTTTCTTTTTTTTTTCTTTTTCTTTTGAGTTGGAGTCTCACTCTGTTGCCCAGACTGGAGTACAGTGGCACGCTCCGGGTCACTGCAACCTTGACCTGCTGGGCTCTGCCGATCTTTTCGCCTTAGCCTTCCAAGTAGCTGGAACTACATGTGCCTGCTACCACATCTGGCTAATTTTTGATTTATTATAGAGACAAGGGTCACCAAGTTGTCTAGGTGGGTCTTGAACCCACAGGCTCAGGCAATCCACTCACCTCAGCCTCCCAAAGTGCTGGGATTACAGGCTGAGCCATCAAGCCCAGCCGATCTTGGTTTCTTTCTTTCTTTCTTTTTAAGATATGGAATATTTATTAAATGGCAGCATATTAAAGTAACAAATGAACAGACTTTTTGAAAAGCCATGTATCAAATTACTTAAGAAACATCCTTGCAAACAGATAAATATGTATATATGTCTTTTAGCACTGCTTGTCTTGGGGTGAACAGATTTATTTTTTAGTTAATACTCTTTTTCTTACTGTTATGTTTTTTATACATTTCCACAAACATGTATGTATTTGCTTCTGTAATTGGGATAAATGATTACTAAATAATACACTTGAAAGTAAAT